TGAGAGTCTGTTATTTTGATACTAATTCCAGTGTGGGCTTCTGGGCACTGAGGGAGATTTCTTAATCGCACATTGCCTGAAAGTTTATCTGCCGCTAAATTAACTTAAGAGACGAGAAAATTTACTAGTTACGGATTACTGTAGATGCTCCATTTGATATATAGACACTCATCGTTGAGTGCTTAATTATTTAGACGCTTTCATTCCATTCTTTTTTACAAAGTAAGAATGCTATTGTATTTTTTATATGATATTCATATATGTTGCATCAAGTGTCATTCTTCTTGTCACAGTAAATAATTTATTGTATCAATGCTGTTCACATCAAAATGGAATAAAATTCGATATCTAGAAAAAACATCTTGGAGATCTATACAGTAAAATATGACTCCGTCAGTCAGTTAAAAAAAAAATTTCTAAAATTTGTCAATTCCTAGAAATATCGTCAACAGACTCCCAACATCGGGAACCTAAAAAAAGAACGGCATTTTTTTTCGAAATAAAGGACAAGAAATGATTTTTTAAAAATAATTACCAGGATATCAGCATGTGATTCCAAATGATCCAAAGATCCAACACCTGAAAGTACACCTACTGCTGCCCCTAAACCTGCAGCCCGAGCCATACCTAAGTCAGCTAGTGTATCTCCAACCATTACAGCGTTCTAAATTTTATGGGAATAGTTAACCCTTTTACGTTTAAGGAATTATACCTCTGGAGGCACTCTCAAGGATCGACATATGTAGTCAGCGTTGCGAGGATGAGGTTTCGGCTTAGATCCAGGGTCATCACCGCAAACAATGATGTCTACAAGTTTTTCAATGCCAAATCTTTGAAGCATTGCTACAGTGTTTGTCCTAAAAAAGTGTTCCTAAGGGCAGAATTTTTTTTTTGAAAAATTTTAAAAAATACTTGTTTGCCTTGTTCTAAAAACTTTTTTTGTACAGGTTGTTATTACCTATTGTCTGCTGTGCAAACTGCTGTTTTAACATCATTGTCCTTTAACGCATTGAACAACAGCTGCATATCCAGGATAGCTCGTAAGCTTGCAGAGCTTCTTAACTGACTGTCTTGGATACACTTGTCAATAACATTATCCTAAAAATTCAGCTGTACTCTTATACTCCACGATACCCTGATATCTTGAAATCTGATCTCACGTAAGTGTTGCCAAGTCCTTTCCTAATAAGGAGCTTTTGGAGCTCGCGCTTGATTTGCGCCAT